CCATTGCAAATTCGTCTCTATCTTCTGCTTTTCTTAAGAGCATCTGTGTGTTTAACCCGGTCTAGTCGCGAATGTATTTCAGCCAGGATATTTCGACGGTGTCACGACAGAAAGGCATAAGCGTCATTGACAGTTTTTTTCAATAGACACAAAAAACGTTTAATATCGCTTAATATTTATTTTTTTTTTACATTTTCTTGGCATTTTATGATCGTTGAACTGAGGCATTTTGAGTTACCATGTGTTAGTTATAAAACAATTATTATAAACATGAGATATTTAACATTTTGGTACTTACGCCTTTAATGTTAGGTTCTGTGGTCTTTAAGCCTCTTTGAAAGGCGGTTACCATATTTGGAAAAAAATATTTTGATCAAAAAATGTCGCTTAGGAACTTGTATGCCTTTTAATTTTACGGAATTGTAATAAAAATGGATAATAAATCTTTTCATTTTAAAGCATAACAATTAAGTAAAAATAATACAAAATAAACAATACACAATATATTTATGAGTTTCTTAGAGTTATATTGGTGTAAAAAAATATCATACAAAAATTAAGTTAATATAATTATCAGGTTATATTAAGTATAACAAGAAAATAAACTGAAAAAGTATTCAAAAAACAACAAAAACTATTAAAACTTACCATTTTTATGTGGAACCTTTATCCTTTCTCGGTACATGAATACCAATGTTATAATCTTTTTTGAAGTACTTTTTAAAAGCAGATATTTTAAAAGGGATGCCATTTTTTCATTTATTTTTATGATGTACATTTTATAAAGATTTGAAATGCCTTAAGTATCTGCTGGTAGATACAATTTTTTAGTCGACCCTCGACAGTAGTGCGAGGGGACAGCAGGAAGACCCTCAATAAAATCTTTAAATTTAAACATTTGTTTAGGAGTAATTTTTTATTTAGGTTCATGTTTCTCCTTATTCTTACGGTTAACTTTAATTTTTGACTAATATTTAGAGTATTTTTAAAGAATTGTAAGCAAACCCGTTTTTGTACATCATTTTCCAAAAGAAAGTATTGATAAGTTAGATTACGACGTGAATCAGAAACTGTTCTTTTTCTCTTTATAGGTATGGCATTAACGCAACCATTAATGAAATTTTTCTTATCTAAATTATTACCTATGTTCCAAAATTTTTTAGAAATACTATTTCTGCCCTCAGTGCTAAAGCTATTACATTAATTGACACTTTTTTTGCCTAAACATGGATTAGGAAGCAAAACTTTTTCAGCAACGCATTCCTTTTTATAATTACAGCAACTTTTCTCCAAGTTACGTAACTTTCAATGACGTAATAAATTACTTTCCGGTTTTTTTCTCTTTTGTCCTCTAACTTCAGGTCGAGTGCTTTGAGATGAACTACCTGATGTTTTACTAGAAATTGAACCAGTTGATAAGCTAGAACTAATGCTGTTAATTTCAGTCTCATTTTTAACAAATACTGTCAAGGATGATGAATCTGATTCGGAGTTTAAAGAATCATTACGTTGTACAAAATCATTACAACCTATCTTATTATCAACTAATGAAATAAATACTATTGCGGCATTAATTATTACTATCATCAGTATCGTCACTATCTGCATAAGGTACAAGCTTTTTATCACAGGTTGATATATCAGTCTCTTATTCGGCAGTCTTATCAATATTCGAAAATAAACGGCTATTAATATTCAAATTTGGACTTAGAGGAAAACTGAAATCCACAGTGGCATCAGAATCTAGAGCAGAACTAGGTATTTGGAGTTCTTGTTCATGGTCTTTTAGTATGGGCTGTAAAAGAACATCATGCTTTAGGGCTTCATTAAGGACCTCATTTTCAGTGGAAAATGAACCATGGTTTTTATTATTTATGCTGGATTCCTGCACATTGCTTTCCTGGTTCCCCAAAATGGATTTCAATGTAAGATTTATTATTTGTTTCCCCCGAGAAACCGTTCTAAAAACCATTAAAAAAAAAAGAAGTAAGCGCCATTCAAATGTTAGTTTTTGTAGAATAATATTACTACCAAAATATAACTTTAAAATTATAAAAAAGAAGACTATACAACAGAGTAAATATATATTTTATTTAGGTTTAAACCTTATTTAAGTCGGTTAAGTAGTAACTTTTCTATGGCAAATTTAAGTCATAAGTAGTGTATTTTAAATGGCCAAATGGCGGTTAGATAAACGATAAATTTTTTTCTGAAAAGGCGTAATCGACAGTCGGTAACATTGTAGATTGTTATGGTATATTATGATTTCTCAAGATAAATAATCTAACTAAACGCTTAACAAAACATTAAATATATTTAATATTTCAAATTATTGTTTACCTAACCACGATATAACCACGTTTTTAGACCCAAGACGTAAGCACCGTCTTCCACTACGGATCTTGTCGCTTACTGATTTCGGTGTCTCATCTTTTAAGAAACTTGTTTGGCGGTTAGAAAATTCAAAGCTTGTTTTAGTTGAGTTTGAATTTTTTTACAGCTGCATCTTTTTAATAGTAGATAGGACGTAAAATGTATTTGATTTTTATACCAAAACATAAATTTAGAAATTTTGGCGCTTATGCCTTTTTGTCGTGACGCCATCGATTTGTCGTCTACCAGAACTACTTTTTCCTTCGATTTTATTCTTCATAATCAGCTGCAACAATTCGTAGTTATTATTTCTAAGTATGCGCCCCAGATATGCTGCCTTTCACCTTTTAATGGTGCTCAAAAGTTATCTGTCTCTTCCCATTCTGTGCAACACCATTTCGTCTGTAATATAATCGGTCCATGGTGTTTTTGTGCAATTTTCTCCCACTTCGATACATGTTTCCATCAGCCACTTTTCCTTAGCCTCTAGATTTTCTTCTAATAGATATATCAAGAGTAAAACGATAGTAGTAGGTAAAGAACAAGTAGTGGGCAAGGTAACAAAACATTAATGGCACCATTGCCAATAACAACAAGACATTAATGGCTTCAAACATAAAACAGGTACAAAAAAGTATTTTAGATCATGTTTTGTATAAGGCTAGGCAGATGTTTTGTTTCAAACTACAGTGGTATAAAAAATTGAAATATTTGGTATGTAAAATCAAACTTCAAGGAGCACTGTCAAATATTATTTTAAGAATATTTTTATGTGTTATTAATTAAAAGCTTTGATATCACTATTTTCGTTATAAACTTGCGTGCATAGAAATCGGCCCACTGTAAACTTTTGACTTTAACTATATTTTTTTTAAGAAATATTTATCAGATCACAAAAACAAATATACTGTTTGAAAGACAATTTAATATGCTTTAATGTGAGTTTAAATTTATGAAAACTTATTTCGGCTTCCTATGTTTAACATAGTGAAATGAATTCATTAAGCAAATTAAGCTTTTTTATTATTAACATAAGTAGGGTTATTGACAATTTAAAACTTAATACTTAAGTTTTTAATAATGGGTATGACCTCCTCTTGCCCTAATAACATCTCTCATACGATTAGGTATAGATCTAATCAAGTTTGCTATTGTTGCTTGTGGGATGTTAAGCCACTCTTCTTCTGCTTCAAGAATAAGCTCTGGTCCCGAGTCTGGGGTATGAAGTCTAGCTCGAATTCTTCGTTTTAGCTCATCCCATAAATGTTCGATCGGATTTAGATAAGGACTGTTTGCTGGCCAGTTTATAACCTGAAAACCGACTTCTGCAATGTAATCTTGCACGATTCTTGCGGTGTGTGCCCTTGCATTGTCATATATAAAGATAAATTCGTCTCCAATGTAGTTGAAGTAAGGTACCACATGAATTGCTAAAGTCTCCTCGATATATCTGGCAGCCGTTAAACCTCTTCTTCCGTGAAGACGGTCGTCCCTGCGAATGAACTCAAGATCGGTTCGTGCTCCTATAGAAATTGCACCCCAGATCATCCAGAAACCACCCCCATAAGCACTTCGCTCTTCAAGCAGCATTCTGCAAGTCTCTCTCCTGATCTCCGGTACACTTTCCTTATTCGATCGCTACCATAGAGGCATATTTTGGTCTCATCCGAGAACAGAACAGATCCCCATTGTTCCAATGTCCAATTCCGATGATCCTGTGCAAAACGCAGGCGTGCTTGCCGATGAGCTGGAGTAAGTTTTGGACCAATCGCAGGTTTTTTAGGGGTCAGGTCATTTTCCACAGTCTTCGTCTCACTGTCCACTGACTAACAGCCACTCTTCGTACCTCACGGAGCTGTCGTTTCACCTGAACGGTATTAAGGTGACGGTTTCTTAATGTTGGTGACACAATAAAGTGGTCATCACGAGCGGTTCTAAATCGCCGTCTTCCTGTTCCAGGTCGCTTATGAAAGGATCCAGTCTCCTCATAACGTTGGCACACTCTTCGAACCGCTGCGCGTGTTATATCCAATTGTCTAGCAACAGCTCGCTAAGTCCATTTTCGATTAGAGCAATGACTTGGGCGGTTTTTGTGGTGTAGTATGCATTAAACTAACATACTTAAACATTGCTGAGATTATGAAAAACGAATAATATGCAAATTTCACTCGAAAAGGCAATACTTTTACAATTAGACAAATTTGTTATTTTCGTGACAATCACCACATAAACAGGTTTCATTTGTTTAAAGGTTACTACGCATGTAAACGATAAGCCTTCTTGATAAATTGATACTCACATTAAAGCATATTAAATTGTCTTTTAAACAGTATATTTGTTTTTGTGATCTGATGAATATTTCTTGAAAAAAATATAGTTAAAGTCAAAAGTTTAAAGTGGGCCGATTTCTATGCACGCAAGTGTATAATAATTTTTGAATGAAAATGAGACAAAAAAGTATCCGTACCAATCACACTTATAAATTTCTTATTAGGATTTCTGGAATTCCAGATACAAAATATGTACCAAAATCTTTACTGTGTACATACATTTAAATATAAATATATTATAATTTTATGCCATTATCTAAACAAAAAACCCTTTTTTTATTTGCTTTTTCGTTTCAGGGCATCGGCAGTTTATTTAGCGCCCTTAAAGTCGTCCGCCTACTTCGATTAGGTAGGGTTGTTCGAAAACTTGATCGATATTTAGAATACGGAGCTGCTATGTTGATACTTCTTCTGTGCTTCTACATGCTGGTTGCTCATTGGTTAGCTTGTGTTTGGTAAGTATTATATATATTACTTATAAATATTATTAAAATTAAACATTTATTTTTTGTAACAGTTCTAAATACGTAGACTTGGTACATTTTTATTTTTTTTTTGGAATTGGGGGAATCTAATAAGCTGTACGTGCCCTTGAAAGAAGCTAGTAATGTGCCATTAAGTAATATTCTATACAGTTTTTGCGTTAATTTGGTATTATCTAAATGATAGAGTCATCTGAGGTCAGTCTCTTAATTACTTAACATATTCTGGAAACTCTTGACTCTTGTGACAGAAGTACGTATATTATTAATAGCCACAGCTCATGTAGTTAGTACTTAAAAGGCTCAAGACCATATAAGCTACATAAGTGTTTAGATTAAAGCTAAAGATTGGCATATTGTTAAGGGTAATCCATACTTTTTTCTTCACTACAGTGGATATAATCAATGTATAAATACGAATATAATTTGAATGCATTTATGTCCAACTTCTCTATCGACGATATGAAACAATTTCTGAAGTCGTGGAGTAAATGTTTTATTGGTAGCTAATAAGTACACTTAATGGAACTTCAAATAATGACTTCGTTACGATATGAATATTGTTATTAATCTTTGTGCTCAAAAGCATTTAACCCCAATTTTTAACCTTACAAATATAGGGACAATCAAAAAGTCCATTGCCTTGTAATTTACATATTTGTACATCATAGACGCTAGACAAGTATTTTTCAAACTAGGAAGTTATTGCAATAATAAGTAGATTATAGATACAGTACCTAACTTTTGGATTAGATATTGCAAATACATAAAGCTCTAAAATCGGCAACATTGCATAGTACGAGGTAAAAATTATCCGATTCACGTCCAGACCTAAACGAGAAAACCATTTAGTAACACATTACAATGCTTGGGATCTACATCTCCTTCCGTCGATTTTTGTTTTCATTGCGTATAACCGATTAACTTCTTATAATATAAACTCGAAGAAATAGACTGACTTTTATAAGGCGGTGCATTTGCATCGATTTTTAATTATTTGAAAAAAATTTTGTAGTTCAATTAAAAATAAAAGCTAATTTCTTTAAAAAGATAAAACAAAAAATATACTGTTATTGAATATAAAAAATAATTCCTAATAAAATAAGAAATCATTCTCTATACCCTACAAAAATGATTCAAACATTTGACTTTCTACGGCTGAACAGTATCTCAATCTGTCATAAAATCTTCTGCAGGTAGATAAAAGAGTTTCTGCTGTAATAGAATTGCAGACTTACCTTATTTTGTTTTTTAATTCATCCAAATTTTGCACTCAATCCTCAGGATGATCTTAGATGATGCTTATTAAACGTCTCCAAAAAAGAAGTTCATAGGTATAAGATCTGGAGATCGCGCAGGCCAATATCACCTGTTCCACTGATAACTCGATTCGGGAAAGTATTGTTGAAGTACTCCCTAATTATTCAAGCGTTGTGATCTGAACAGCCGCCTTGATGAAACTAAACATTCTCCAGATTTATCTCAGAAATATTGAGAATAGCGGTAAGAACATGATTCTGTAACAAATCGAGGTATACTCTATCATTCCAGTTGCACTTAATGAAAAATGGACTTATTACGAGTATGTGGTCTCCCAAAATGCCAGTCCAGACGTTAACTTTTTGAGAACCTTGAGTTCGGTAAACAACACTTCTGTGGAAGGATTGTGTTTTCCTACTAACCAAACAGAACATTCATCAGTGAGTAAAATGTTTTTAACCAAATTTGGTTCATCATTAGCCTTCGATATTAGATTTTCACAAAACTCCATTCTTAGGAAGTAGTCCTTTAAATAAAGATGCTGCGTTCTCGAATATTTAAAACTCTTGTAACCGTGTTTTTTCCATACTTTAATCTACCTAGATTGTTGCACAAATTTGTGTATCCCGGTATTCTATTTCCTCAAATTTTTCTGATGACTTCTTCAGCGTCACATTTTCTGCAATTTTTAAGGCAATATCCACTATCGATTTTTTTTACCAATATTATGAATTAACTGTACGCAAAGAATTGGTCTTCCCTAAAAAAAAAACACAGAAAATAAATCTCTACACTGTTATCCAAAATTACCAACATAAACCATTTTATTATTTGAACCTTTTCTGCGGCCGTATAAACAGACATGTTGTTTAAAAAAATAAATAACAACCACAGTATAATGACAAATTATTGGCGACGGATCAACGGAGGTTCGTGGAAAATCAACCGTATGTATAATATATTGCAATCATATACAGGATAATTGGGAAGTTGAAATTATTGTCATATTACAAATAAAGGGTTTAATTTGTGATTGAACAACATTTGTAAGGATTTTCAATAGTCCCATCTAATAAATTTTGCTATTTTTAGTGGAAATTGACCACAATTTTAGTTTAAAATATTAGTCCAGTTGTCAGAGAGTTAAGCTGACTTTTGCAGAGGATATTAATTTTGGGACCCCACAAAAGATGCAAGAAAGTTAACCACTTTTACTACCAGGCTTCCCCCTGAAACCTGACTCGCAGTGGGTAAAAATAAAAATAAAAACTGTAGCTGAGATAATTTTAAACAAAAACATTAAAAAGCATTTTTTGTGTAGAATAAACCGTTCTCTTAGAAACATAGCTAGAAATGACCGTCGATTTTGCATGTCAGTTACGCGCTAAATCAATGTTCAATAAATAGCATAATTCAGCCAGGACTCCATTCTTATTAATGAGGTTTCTTCAGATGACTTTAAGTCAGAAATAAAACATAAAGTGTTAAGTGCGTGGCAAAATAAGTGGAGTGCATCACAAAATAAACTCAAAGAAATCAAACAATTAGTGAAACTGTGGCTCCAACCCACAGCGAATAGACACGACCAAGTGAGAATAACACGTTTGCGAATAGGACACAGTAACTTTACACATAAACACTTCTTTACGCGAACTGTGCCGCCAATGTGTGAAACGTGTCAAGTAACACTCTCCGTTAAGCATACAGATTGAATGAAATAAATTCGGAACATACGAAATATTATGTATTTTGGCTCAATTCTGCTGTAGGTGGTTGGCCAACAAAAGGTTGTCAAATAATTATATTATAAAAATCCAATACTTCAGCGAACTGCTGGATTCTGAACTAATTCAAGAACTCATTCATAGGTGGTCAAACCACCTATCGCTTCCTAAAGCCGGCCACTCACGGTACAGCGGTGTCGTTCGACATAATGGGACAGATGCGTTGTTCAATTTGTTGGTATATCTGGTGCGCCCACACACCATACTGCGCCGCAGTATTTGTTCGGTTCTCGACCATGTCAAATCAAACAATCATTTTAGCATCTCTTACTTTGTGTATAACTAAGCGTAAAAAGAAACCTAAAATAAAACTTAGATTCTGATGCAAATAATCCAAGATTTTGGTGCAAAATATATCTCGTCTGCCCCTGCACCCGATTTACTGGACTGCACTGCTAATTTTAATTCTCTTTTGTAGGATGTTCTAAAATTGTTAATTTTTTTTTCTTACATACTCTTCATTCGCGTCTTTGTTTACTTCTTGGAACTTTAAAACTAGAATGTCCATTGCCTGTTTTCGGGCGTTTCTATCGTGATACGTTTTACCTTTTATTCGCTATAAGCAATCTTGTTTTTTATATAATTGTGAAAACTCTACAAAATGACGTTATTAGATTTTAATTTGATACAGAGCAGCAACAAGCCGCATATACGTATTTCGATCTCTTTAGATCTCCTCATTACGGTATAGTTACTACTCCATATCAAACCAAAATATTTTCCCGTCGGAGATTATAGTTATTAAAAATACCTATTTAGGGGCGTAACTACGCCATCTAAGAACAAAAAGAGAAATCATACGATTTCTACCTGGCGAAATCGAATTCAAATATAAGCCGCCGTACTCCCTAAAACTTGCGAAGCAAACAGCTTGATGAATGAATCGGCAAGGGAGTCGACTCCCTTGACTAACTCAGTGCAAAAAATATGAAGCAGCAAGAAAGAAACACACTATAAGGAATAATATAAAGAAAGCCCTAGGAAAAAACATGAACATTAAAAACACAATAAGTTATCTTAAAGACTCTCTATCTAACTATCTAAAAGACTGTAATTTTTTTCTAACTTTACTTGTATTTTACATTTAGGTCGCTAATAACCCTGGTGGTTACAGCGTAAATAAATAAAAAAATATATTCAGTAAAATTTGTGTATCAGTTTGACAACAAAAATCTTTTGATTCAAAATGTCCTGTCCCAAATTTGACAAAAATTAAGATGCTTATAAAGGCAGAGAATGCAGCTTTTGTATGCAATGTTTGTATTTTCCCGAGAATAAACTCGTTTATAAAAATGTTAAATAAATTAACGTATCGTGATTTTTGCCATGTTTTACAATTTTCATGAGAATAATAAAATTATTCACTTTCATTGACAAGTAGTAGTAAAAGATCAATCTTTAAAACCTATGATATACAATTTCAATTTTGAGTTGTGGTAACAAATATTAGGCATTTGAAATATGAATAAAAATCGCAGCAGTTAATGTTTTACATTACAAATGTTCACACGTTACTTTAAATGTATTTAAGAAGACCTTTTTGGGTATAATTTATTGCAGAAATTTTGTTCTTTTGAAAAACGTACTAATCTATTTGAAAAAAAGTTTTAAATTTCTTAGAACGTTTGTTGTATGAAAGTTTAAATCTATCGTTTTTAAGCCTATTTCAAATGCCGCACATTTATTGTAAAAACACAAAAAAAAATTTCATGCTATAGCTTTTGAACGTTATGTACTGGTAATCGAAACTTTATAGTGGCTAGTCAATAAAAGGGATAGATTATATTGATCTGGTGAGAATCATAAAGAATGACAAAAATCGAGCTACGTTTATTTATTAAACACCTGAATAAAATCTGAGTTTATTTACGGCAAAATACAAAAGCTGCATACAAAAGCTGAACTCTTTACGTTTAAAACGCATCTTGGTAAAGTGTAGAGGTTGTACACATTCTTGGTACATTGAATTTTTAGCGTTTTTACCCCCCTGCGAGGGGGTTTTAAAGGAAACCGGGAGGTAAAAATGGTTAACTTTTTTACATCTTTTTAGGGGTCCCAAAGTTAATATTCTTAAAAAAATTCAACTTGTTTGTATGATTTTTAGAGGTTCAGGGGCATTTTCGTCTCTGGCGACTGGAGTATATATTTATTTTGACTTTCATTGAGTTTAGATTTCCACTTTGGTAATTGAAACACCATAATAAACATATTTGTAACTAAAATTGTCAGTAATTTACAGTTTATAGTAAAATATATTAAAATGCTACAAGAAAATATCAAGAACAATACCGTACCTCGGAGGTAAAGGACATTATGTCCATTTTCTTACTTTTTAAGGAGAGCAGTTTTAACGTTTTTTAAATTTGTAATCAGTAAATTCTCAAATGTTTCTATTTAACCAAAATTAATATAATATATATATATATATATATATATATATATATATATATATATATATATATATATATATATATATATATATATATATATATATATATATATATCAGAAACATTTGAGTATTTACTGATTACAAATTTAAAAAAAAAAGTAAGAAAATGGACATAGTGTCCTTTACCTCCGAGGTACGGAATTATAAAATCTAATATTTATTACTTAAACCAAATAAATCAATTTATTTAATTCATTGAAAAATTTAACTGAAACTTAATTATTTTCTTTCCAGGTACTCAATCGGTCGGTCGGATGCCGACAACGGGGTCCAATACAGCTGGCTGTGGAAACTAGCAAATATCACGCAAAACCCGTATTCCTACGTGTGGCCCAACGATTCTAGTACACCGGAATTAATAAACGGCCCTTCCAGAAAGACGATGTATGTGACCGCTTTATACTTCACCATGACCTGTATGACATCCGTGGGATTTGGTAACGTTGCTGCCGAAACCGACAACGAGAGGATATTTACAATTTGTATGATGATTATTGCAGGTACGATTTGTCTTGAGTAACTATTGTTCGTGCTGGTTATTATTTAAATTTTTAAAATATAGTAAAATAACCGTAAAGTTAAAAAAGAATAAAATATGAATTAATGACGAAATATTTGTATTAACCCTGCGTTAGTGTGGACTAACAAACTAAACTAATGCAGAAAGTTAAAATTTTTGAAATTTAATTATTTAAAATGGTGAATCTTGGTTTTATACTTATTTGTGATTCAAATAAATTAAATATCGTACTTTAAAAGTCTTATATTTAAATGTTAAACATAATTTATCTGGCATATTGCAATTATGCTAAACAAAAAACACGAGTGCACAATAATACACTCAGATATTATACAACATTTTATTGACTACACAACTCTAAATAATCTAGTAGCATAAGATTCTACAAATTAATGAAAAAAATGTTTGTAGTAATACATTAAAAAATAAAAAAGTTATGACTCCTTAAAATTGTCACAATTTGAATACGTCAATATTGCGTGTTCCAAACAAACTGGAGTATCTCATCACTTGCATATATGTAAAAGATCTTCCTGTATTTTTATTTCTTGGACAAACAGAAAATCTACTACCTGTCTTACATTAATTAGGTCCCAATTGATGTACCTCTGCTTGCTTATTAGCACATAGTGGTCGACGCAAGAAAGGGTTTTGTCTTCGTTGGTTTCGAAACTCAGAAATCAGTTGTTTACCCGGTTCTTTTAAAAAATTCGTCTTTTTAAATTAAATTTTTTTGTACTTATTTTAATAGGAACTGAAGCATTACCTTTAGCTAGATTTAAAGACGAAAAACATAGTTTTAACGTCCAACGACGGCTATTTCTTGATACGCAATTAGCGGATAACTCATCCAATGTTTCAGGTAATAAAATTTCAGGTTATTTCTGTTCACCAGTTTCTTTGATTATAGTATCATCATGATGCAATGTAGAAACGAGGTTTACATTTTTTTGACTTTTTTGGCATATATCGGACAGCCGTTGTATCTTCTTTGACGGCAAATTTTGAACTGCAAATTTCTCTTCCTTGTGTGTTCAGAAGTGGAAATTGCATTTTATTCTTTCTAACTGTCCCAACCGATGTAAGATGATGAGTCTGAAGTAGAGTGATTATGAGAGGGTAACTGCTAAACCAGTTATTGAAAGTAATATTACGTTTAGTACCAGAAACTGGTTCAATCAAACGTTTAACTGTATTTTGCGGATTGTTACTTTATCGGAAAGGTCCTTCTGGTTGAGTGACGACGTAAACTTTTATGTTTATACAATAGTAAGTTTTGGAATCCACTAGCGCAAATACTTTTAACCCATACTTCGCTGGCTTATTCAGTATTTATTGAAGAAGTGCCACACGTCTGCTGAATAATGACTCCAGTTTTTCGTTTATTGTAAGATACTGACTTGGTATATAGTGTTTCTTGCAGTTGTCAACGAATTGATCCAATAATCCTCGTATTGCTGCCAATGTGTCAATCTGTTCCCGTTTTACGCTACTTTGCACATTGTCGAATTTCAAACATTGCAACAAAATGGAGTATCTTTGTGGTGACTTGTGATTTTCGGTCGAATGAGATCAATACCGTTGCCATCAATATTCCAAATAACTAAAATATTTTGTTGGTTTGACTTGTAAAGTCCCGTCAAATAAAGCAGGCATATAACAGCTTATTCAGCTTAATAATTATCTGCTGAAGCAGTTTAAAAAAAGCTAAAAACTTAATGGGAATTTTTTTTGTCTCACTGTACTTGCTTACATTGTAGACTTTTTTATCCTTTCAATAAAATAAAAACTGTTTTTAAAGAAACCAAGTTTATATAAAAACTTGAGGAATACGTTAATACTTTTCACGAGGCATGTGCAGTGCAGTTCTGCATGACTTTCGGGCTGGCCTAGTTGACTACGATGAAGTTCATCCAAAAGATGTTCGATGATATTTAGATCAGGGCTGCAGACTACCCACTCTAGAGTAACAATTCTAACTAACTTCTAACCAACAAATAATTTGGCACGATTCTTGCAGTATGCGGCCGTATATTATTATGCATAAAGACGAAATTATCCCCCACTAAATGGACCAAATGGAACTACTGCTTCTGTCAAAATATTCTCTATATACCGGTGAGAATTCAGGGGGCCATTAATAAAAAATAAGTTCAGTTCGAGCTTCAAATGAGATTCCAGCCCAAACCATGACACCACCACCGCCATCTTTTCATTTTTTCATCTCCAAACTCTCTTTGCCGTCGCCAGACTTTAAACAGAACTCCGATTCATCAGTAAAGAGAATTCGTCTCCAATCTAGTATATTCCAGTGTTGATGTTTTCGAGCAAAAATTAAGGGATTCCTACGGTGTCCAAATTGTAATTTGAGAACAATAGCCATTAGTCTTCTTTTATTGAGGCGTCTTCTAACCGTTCTCTCACTTACACTCACAACTCAAAACTCCTGCAGACGGTTTTTGCAGCAATTTCAGTGGAATGGCGATTTCTTTAAAGTTACATCACAATAAAACGATAATTTCATTGCGAGGTAACTCTTCTACGACCGGAACCAAGTTAACGTGAGTATGTACGTCTCTATAAAGCGATGAAAAGCTCTCCGTACTGTAGTTCTCGGAATATCTAAAGTTTCGGACACATAAACTAGACTTCTTTCATCTTTTAGCAATGCAATAATTCGAACAATATCTACTGTAGAAAACACCATATCTTAATTATTTCTTTAGTCGAAATCCACGTTTGAAAACCTAAATTACTATTTTAATGTTTTTAACTTAGATAGACAGAAGATAAACTGTAGAAAATTATTCACATTTTCTACAATAGTTTATTTATTATTCTAATAATTATTATTATTCCACTAAATGGTCTTCTAAATTAAATAAAAGTCTATACGATCAGTACGACATCCCTTCTTCGTGCTGTTTCGTATCTTCTGCGCCTGTCAGAATTTTACATTAATCTATTCAAATCAACTACCCTTAATATCACTTCGTTGCTGCCTTCTCAAATAGAAGGACGTAAGTCAATTCATTTTTTCAGTTTCTCAAGTAGAAACAAGATAGTTCTGTTCTCGCGCTTCTCAAATAGGGGCAGTTTTTGAATAACTTATTTTATTAAATAGTTATTTAAACTAAATTCAGTGTTTGTGCATCAAATATGTAAGTACCTGAAATAATTTTTTCATACAGAAGATAATCTACGGTTTCGTGCCAACTTTTCATGAATGCCGGTCCGACAAATTACAGGGTTGCCGGATATTCAATAATCTACATATAAACTTTATTGTTCTATATTTTCATATAAAGAGTTGTGCGTTTAAGAACATTGTATATAATTATTATAAAAATGGTGATTTGTTGGCGATTCCGCTTTTTTATTTATTTTTGTAAATATTGTAATAAAAATATTTCTAGCTTTTATTCTTGTTTTAATTATTTCATTTTCTATTTTACTACTCACTACATAATTACATATCCGCAAGTTTGCGACCTATGGGTCGCTGGTCCTTCGAGGTTTAATTTATTTTTTATCTACCAAATGTAGGAAGGTGAGATCATAATTTTTCAAATACTTATTTGCTTTTAATTTATCGAACCAGCTACCTCATCCTTTCCCCTACATAAACAGTGACTATAGAAAACAACAACATAGTCAAAACGGTCAAAAACAAGCATATGATCGCAATAAATATCTAAATTAAGATGCAATATAAAACAGTTCATAAAACTCCCAATGAATTTTTATTTTCGAAAATTTATAGGGTGGTCACTTTTTTTGCCATTCAATGTATAATAAAATCACAACTTTTTGCATTTACAAACAAAGTAACATGGTAAATAAAATATTAATACTAATAAAACATTAATTAAAAAAAGCCTGTTGAGCGTTAAATCAATAAAATGGGAAATAGAGTGCATATTTATATTTAGAATTTAAGCTTGCGAAGTTAAAATTCAACTTATTACATTAATGTTACGTTTATAATAATTTCTACGACTGCTTGTATTGATCTTCCTTCGTGTATTAACCTTGAATTTTAAAATACAGCACATAAAATATCTTCGTCTTTCATACTTCAATAACAAAAAGTACCTCGAGTTATATCGCCTGCTTTATTCAGCTCGTTCGTGACTGACGATATACGTTTTCCCAAATATCTACAGTATCTTGTACACCTTTCGTAATCCTGCAAAAAGATCGTTAATCATTCCTTCGCTTTTATAAATGGCTGACGAGGTTTATACAAAATTAATAATATAAATAGACGGGTATTTGCCTTGTTATTAAATTATTTAATTTTCGTCTTCCTTTTGGAAAAGAAAGGAATTTTTTTTATATAATAATACTATTGGTGTATGAGACTATATGAACGGCTAACTTATGGAGTATTATCCTTATTTCTAGAACCGTCAAGTTTTGAGGGAAATCCCGAAACAGGTCGATTTTTGTTATAAAATACCCATCTTATAACGTACATGAAGTAGGGATGACGTCACCGGTGTGGGTGTAGTGACATAACCCTTAATTTTTTTTAAATAGAAATTGGTATACTGCGACGTGCATTTAAAGAAGAATTTAATTCTCTATTTAACGACATTACATTTTTAACTAAAATATTTTTTAAAGGTACAAAAACAATTTTTTTTAATTTAAATTTAACTAAATTACAACTAACGATTTAATTTATAATATACTTTAAACCAAATTATGCATAACAATTATTTTAAATTAAATGTTCGAAATGCCATCGATCGGTTCCTGCCATGACTCTCTGAAGTAAATACTTAAAAAAAAAAGCAAAAATAAGTAAAAATAATAATAAACACAAAAAGTTATCTAATAAACACTGAAACTTTTTGTCAAAATTTAAATTCAAGCAATTGATAGTGGCATAGTTACTGTAATATTTATTGACGTAAATGGTTTAATTTTGTGAATTGTCATCAGTTGTCAATTGTAATTTTTACTTTTGAATAA